CAATACTTTTTCCCTGTGCCATTCCACATTATTACAAATAACTTCATTTCTGGACATTTATGGTTTGATTTCTTTGTATGTATGGATCACTTGGGTGTTACCAACATCTGGTGAAAATTTCATGTCATTAGCACCTCTAGTAATATATTTACTGAGAAAAATGGTGACGTGTTCAATACTTATTTTACCCGCGGTACATCTTTGACACAAGAGGGGCCCGCCAATACGTTCAGGGGTGGTCATTGTGTGGTGGAAAAAAACTTTTCCATGTCTGTTAAACAAAGTGCAGAAATACGTGATCAAAAAATGCTCTTCACTACGGTCTCTGAGTAATTTTATTGCAATAAAATGAGAGTTAACATGCATACAGCAATACAAGTTGAGTCTGGGGACACAGCCCCAGTGAAGCATCTTCATACCTTTAGCAGAAACCAGTCCCAAAACTGGATATTTCTGACATGCAAGGAGTGGTTCTTTATCTGAGCAGCAAAAATTCCTAGTTTCAGATAAGACTTGTTCTGTGGTTCTTAAACAGAGGGAAACACCTTAGAATGTGGTAATACTTCCTATTTCATCGTCTCTTACATGCTCGCATTCCAACAGTAACAACAATAGTTTTTATTCCAGATTGTTATTGTAAAAAATTAATACTATCCATATAAATTGTGCCTCCTAGATAGAGTGAATTTAACTGTGGTTGAATGAGAAGTATAAATATATAAAATTCTGATACTGTATTAGTTTGTACACAAACTAATCATGTCACACTCCAGCAGGACATAATCATTAAAATAAAAGTACTGTACTTAAGAAGTATTTGTATTTCATGAATTATATTACTGCATTTGGCCACAGCCCTCAGATAGATTTTCATTTTGGGGAAAAGGTTTGGACACCCTTTATATATGTATATAAACTGAAACAGCCAGACTAAGTGCATCCTAAACTTATAAATTACACATTATAAAAAATAGTAATTTCTGCATTTTTTTTGGGGTGGGGGTGGGGGTGTCACCTCCTAATAGATGTCATTACAGAAAATCTAACAGCTCATTTTAAATCTGAATCTGGAGAATTACAAGTGAAGTCATGCTAATGGTTTTTTGAATTGATGTCTTTTTATTTCATTTTGAAAAGTTTTAAGTTGTTTTGATTTTTGTTGTATTTTTACTTTTCTTTTGAACTTATTTTGGGTATAAAAAGGGGCAGATATAAGATTTATTCGTCTTCTGCTGCCTTTCATTTTATTTGATTTTATTTTGATTGCATGTTTATCTGTACTTTGTTAATTTGTGTTACAAATGAAATAAAAAAAGAACTACTACTACTACTACTACTACTACTACTACTACTACTACTACTAAATCAATACTTATACTTTTAATACTTAAGTAAAAAAAATATCAGATACTTTAAGACTTTTACTCAAGTATTATCCCTAAAGGAGACTTTAACTTTTACCAAAGTAATTTTTGGTAAGATACTTGTACTTTTACTCAACTATCATTTTGTAGTACTTTATACAACACTGTAATTCATAGACATTTAAGCAACATTGAAACCTGCTTGCACTTCTTTGTTTAATAAATCCTGAACAAAAGTATTTAGAGTAAATGCTAGAATAAAAGGTCTGTGGCTTTCAAGCAGTGAGAAAACACTGGAATAGCCCACATTTTTCTCCTGATTACTCGATCTTACCTCTCTGCGAGACATTGCTGGAACTTTCACGTTAAAACTAGTTTTTTCTCTTTTTCCAGGTAGCAACAGCTGCGTCGATCACTTGATGTATTTTTTGATTGGATCGTTTTTGAAGGCGGGGATTCGAGGGGGAAGCTGATTGGCCAGATCTGCTCCTCCGGTTCTAGAGAGTTCTGGGATGGAACGTTTTTGAGGAGGCGAGGCCGCTTCAGCTGCAGACACGCACGGCTACCGACAGGAGTTCAGACGGAGAGAGGAGGTACCAGCACCGACAGATCCAGATTTGCTACAAGAGTATCAGTTACAGGCGCTGTAAACCGAGACGACGCGAGCTTGTTAATTAAACAGAGGTGAGTAGCGGAAACTGAGAGTTCTTCTTTTCGTCTTGTTTCTGAATGTTAACTATCGCGAGACAAAATTTAACATTTGATCAGATTAAATAACTACGACATTACTTAATATTAATTTAAGGTCTGAAACAGTTTCGGGATGAAGATGTTTTAATCTTACACGGTTTTTTAGTCATTTTCTACCTTTTTGACGCATTTACGAGCAATCATGTCTAGTTAGTTTTAGCTAAACTATTGCGGCACTCATTACCGTAGTTAACGCCTAATTCAATTTACCGAACATTACTTAGGTTTTATAATTTAAACATACTCGACTTAGTGTATATATATTTAAAAGGAAAACTTCCAGACGTTTCTCGACTTAGGAGACACACCCCCTCCATATTTCTTGTGCTGACCACCAGCGGCAGTAACCTGCTCACAAAACCAAATATACTTATTGTTTACATGTAGCCAAGTTTTATATTTAAAACAACAATTAATGTAGTAAAAACGTTTTCTAAAGTTTTGAAACTGCTTTGGAATATCATTTGTCATAAATGCTTTAAGAAATATACATTTTTAATTCGGAGATGTCAAAATTGGATTGTTTTTACATGAATATCGTCACTATTTTACTTACATCGCTAGTTTTGACTAGCTTTTAATCAGTATATTTTTTTAGCATTTTTTTATATAAGTAGGGCTTAATAGAGTTAACTCATATTGACTTATTTTAATGCTGGACATAGATTTAAAATTTTAATCGCGATTAAAATTTACGCTCACTTTAAGATGGCTGATTAAGTAGGTTTGTATATTGCAATGCACTCGGTGCTGTCATGTTTGTAAATGAGAAGTGGTTCACAAACAGTTTACCTGGATAAATAAAGGTTAATAAAATAAAAACTCAGTTTTGCTGATAACTGCTTTAAGTGGTACTCATTTGGAATGAAAATCCTTGAATTCTTAATTTAACCTCATTATTCTGCACAAAATTTAACTGCCTCAAATATGTTTGGAGCAGTTGTAGGTCCTGTTTTATATTTTAAAAAAATCATGTCTAGTCTAAGCATTAATTTTGTTTTCTAAATAAAAACATTTCGAGTAATTTATTTTATCAATATGCAATAGAAATGTATATTAAATTTAAAATTAATCTTGATAAATTCACAGCTACTTTGGGATTAATCAGATTAAAATTAATTGTTTGACAGCATTAAATATGTCAAAGTGGGTGTTGCTGATGCTCACTTGGAGGGATTTCTCAGTTCAACAACTGGCAATGAAAATTTTAATTTAAAAAGATTGTAAGGAATATTTCTGACTTCACAAATATAAAGCTCTAAAGATAGATTAAGAAGTTTTATTTTATTGTATTTTTGGTGTCTATGGACTTTTAACCTATTCCTCGTGCCTAAAATCTGCACTTTCTGTTACAACCACCAGGTGGTGACTCACCAAGTTATGTGAAAAAGTGTCCTTTTTTTTTTAAATCTTTTTTTTTTTTTAGTTTTTGTATGAGAAGTGTTTTGTTGTAAATTTTTATGGTCTTTTTAAAATCTAGCTTAAGAAAGATCTAAATTTGAACGTCACTGGGAGGTTAAGGAGGAGGTTGTCAAAAACAATCCACAAACAAGTCGTCATGTTTTGTATATAATCCATGACCTTCATTCTAGAAATATAACCTGAGTTCAGTAACTATCCCCCATGTGGATTGAAATAGGCTTTACGTTACAGTGAGCTGATACTGCTGTTGTAGCAACAGTAAACATAGGAGCGGGTCCCAGAATCACCTGGGAAAACTTGAAAAGTTTTTGTCGTGCGTCACCTTATTTTTTTTATTATTAGTTTTAGAACTTGGCCATTTATCCAAATTTATTTTTTAATTTCTACTACTATTAAGCGGTATTAGGAAATTTCTACTTACAACAAAGATGTGGGATGAAAGTAATGACCATAACAATTGTTAAATTTGTTTTTGCAACAGAGCCATGGCTGCATTAAGTTTGGCGTCATAATAAAGGCAGTTAGGCTGTCTTAAAAAAGCAACTGGTAGCAGGTGCTTTTGGATTTTTCCATTTGTTCATGCTTCTGTTTAAGCAGCTTGAGCTCTGCTAATCAACTCCCAAAAACAATGTTTAATGGGAGCTGCTCACAGGTCTCAGCTTTTGGCTTGCAGTCATGCCTATTCATATTGTTTAACTTGTCTTCCTCAGGAATCATGTCAAAAGGACCAGCTGTGGGAATTGACCTGGGCACCACCTACTCTTGCGTCGGAGTGTTTCAGCATGGCAAAGTCGAGATCATTGCCAATGACCAGGGAAACCGGACCACTCCCAGTTATGTTGCTTTCACTGACACTGAAAGGCTGATTGGAGACGCAGCCAAGAACCAGGTGGCTATGAATCCCAACAACACAGTATTCGGTAAGATTTTAATCCTACATCAAGTATGATTGTGCATGTTAAATTTTCTGATCGTTAATTGCGTCAATTACGTCCCTTCAGATGCCAAACGTCTTATCGGGCGTCGTTTTGATGACAGTGTTGTGCAGTCAGACATGAAACACTGGCCCTTCACTGTCATTAATGACAACTCGCGTCCCAAAGTCAAAGTGGAGTACAAAGGGGAGATCAAGACCTTCTACCCGGAGGAGATCTCCTCCATGGTGCTGGTGAAAATGAAGGAGATTGCGGAGGCCTACCTTGGCAAGGTATCCTGAAAGACCAAATGCTGAACAGGTTTTGAGAATAAGTAATTTATAAAATATGAAAATTTACTCAACTTTTACTTTTCAGACTGTAACAAACGCTGTGGTGACTGTTCCCGCCTACTTCAATGACTCTCAGCGCCAGGCTACCAAAGATGCCGGGACAATTTCTGGCCTTAATGTTCTGCGTATCATCAACGAGCCCACTGCTGCTGCCATTGCTTATGGCCTGGACAAAAAGGTAAGATGCCACATCCTGAATAATGCTTAAATTAACGTTTATTTAAGGTACAGATTACCAGACTAATTCAGAATGTTGTATTCACTTAAATCCAGTCCTGAGACATTTTCAGTCATATTCAAACTTCAGATGAATTTAACAAGGCGACTTGTTTCAGGTTGGATCAGAGAGAAATGTTCTCATCTTCGACCTGGGCGGCGGCACGTTTGATGTCTCCATCCTGACAATTGAGGATGGCATCTTCGAAGTGAAGGCCACCGCAGGCGACACACACTTGGGCGGCGAGGACTTCGACAACCGCATGGTGAACCACTTCATCTCCGAGTTCAAACGCAAGTACAAGAAGGACATCAGCGACAACAAGAGGGCGGTGCGTCGCCTGCGCACGGCCTGCGAGAGAGCTAAGCGCACCCTGTCGTCCAGCACTCAGGCCAGCATCGAAATCGACTCCCTGTACGAGGGCATCGATTTCTACACCTCCATCACCCGGGCGAGGTTTGAGGAGCTGAACGCAGACCTGTTCAGAGGAACGCTCGAGCCTGTGGAGAAGGCCCTCCGCGACGCCAAGATGGACAAGTCTCAAATCCAGGACATAGTCCTGGTTGGAGGTTCAACTCGTATTCCCAAAATCCAGAAGTTGCTGCAGGACTTCTTTAACGGAAAAGAACTGAATAAGAGCATCAACCCCGATGAGGCCGTAGCTTATGGTGCAGGTATGTTTCCTCCTAAAGGAAGAATAATTTTACACCACTGAGTTCCTCTTCTAAACCTTTTTCTACCTTTTCTGCAGCCGTCCAGGCAGCCATCTTGTGCGGTGACAAATCGGAGAACGTTCAGGACTTGCTGCTGCTGGATGTGACCCCGTTGTCTCTGGGTATCGAGACCGCAGGTGGAGTCATGACTGTGCTTATCAAGAGGAACACCACCATCCCCACAAAACAAACCCAGACCTTCACCACCTACTCAGACAACCAGCCTGGGGTGCTCATCCAGGTAGGTCTACAGTCTGTTCAGCTGCCTTTAACAGAGGTTTGTTGTAGTTTGACTGACTTTATCTAATGTGTAGGTGTTTGAGGGTGAAAGAGCCATGACCAAAGACAACAACCTGCTGGGGAAATTCGATCTGACGGGAATCCCTCCGGCTCCGAGAGGAGTTCCTCAGATCGAGGTGACCTTTGATATCGACGCTAACGGCATCATGAATGTAACTGCTGTCGAGCAGAACGCCAAAATACAGAACAAAATCGTGATCACCAATGACAAAGGTAATTGCAGGAAACATTCTGTTAAATTTGATGTACTATAGCCTCTTTTCTTGTCCTTAAACACCTCTTCTTTGCCACCAGGTCGCCTGAGTAAGGAAGACATCGAGCGCATGGTCCAGGAGGCAGAGAAGTACAAAGCTCAGGATGATATTCAAAGAGAGAAGGTGGCTGCCAAGAACGCCCTGGAGTCTTACGCCTTCAACATGAAGTCCACCGTGGAGGACGAGAAACTGAAGGACAAGATCAGTGAGGAGGACAGGCAGAAGATTCTGGAAAAATGTAACGAGGTCATCAGCTGGCTGGACAGAAATCAGGTTTGTATAATTTTACATTAAAACTAAACTACTGTGCATCTTGGAGAGAGAATACTAATTGACCTTCCCTCATGTTTCTGCTCAGTCTGCGGAGAAGGATGAGTTTGAGCACCAGCAGAAGGAGCTGGAGAAGGTGTGCAATCCAGTCATGACCAAGTTGTACCAAAGTGCAGGAGGAATGCCAAGTGGGATGCCTGGTGGTTTCCCCAGGCCTGGTGGTGCTCCTGGATCAGGAGGAGCCTCTGGTCCCACCATCGAGGAGGTCGACTGAGCAAATGTTTAGTCTTTAAAGATTGTTAAACAGATTTATTTTGCACATAAGTTAACTACAGTTCTCAAGTATTTTTGCCAACATTTTTGACTTTCCGAGGTCGATATTCTTTCATGGGTTTGATTTTGTACTTTATATTTTTCAGATGTTCACTTTAATACGGGTTTATTTATTCTGTTGTTCACTTTTGTTGGTGTTGAATTACATAATTCTCAATAAATGATTATATTTGTCTTTGAGTCTTGTTATTCCTTTAATTCCTGCGTTTCATTTTAACTCGGCTGTTAAATCTAAATCTGGATTTTTTTTATGGTTTTGAAATTTATTTAAAGGTGACTGTTAAAAGTGGCAACACTTTGTTTCAATCAGTCTTTGTGCTCCTGGAATATCAAATTCAAACTTGGAGGTGACCAACATGGAACAAGTCGTAGTGATCATTAATCATTAGGGTGCCAAATATTTTTAATGTTACTAAACGTTATGTAGCTCACTTCCCCAAGTTAAAAACAAGTTTAAAAAATCTCCACTGACCTTTTCTTTTTAACTGATTTCTTACACTTTGCTAATTTTTACTAAATGTATAATGGTAAAAATTAAATTAAACTTTAACGTTTTAAGTATTTCAGAATAAAATACTAGCAGTGTTAGCTTTTGTTACAGGATGACCTCATAAAAAAGCAGTGCACCAAAAGGCAAATACTTTGTTACATCACAAAGTTGTTAGATGTAAGCTGTATCATTGGTCTGCAACATTTAAGATTTCATTTTTACACTCACATTTACACGTTTAAACACATTCTTTAACACTGAAAGGAATGGTAGTTAATAGTAAAATGTGTTCCAGTGAGGAAAAGGCAAGGTAGAAGATACCCTGGATATTATCACAAGGACACAGAGTCTATCTCACTTGGGGACGATTTAGACTTGTATGTAACCAGTGTTCCTAACATTCATGTTTTTTGATCTGGGAGGAAATGGAAAAATCCATGAATGGACAGAAAGGCCTTGGGCCAGTTGACCCTGCAGCCTTCTCTCTGAAATGCTACAGCTCTAACCGCTGCTGCACTGTGTCAACTGGCTGACATCATTCAGAGCCAATATTTGGACTGGGCAGAAAATGTTTTTCACATTTCCCCTAAATTCAAACCTTGGCAGTAGATAATGGTAAAGTTCTTATTGCATGTAGTGAAACTAGAATAAACCCTCCTTGTAGTTTTTTTTTTACATTAACTAAAAAGGAAGATCATTTATTTTTAGTCAAATATACTGACCGTTGTAACTCATCAACAGGCTGAGACATTTCTATGTGATATTTTAGAAATTAGGTGTGTGATACTCATAATTTGGTATCCTATAAAGTTTGTAAATCAATTTGGTGCCGGTGTCTATTCTTCAATTAACCAAACTACAGTATATAATTATTTTAATCCACTTTACTTGTGAGGTATGTCTGAATGAAAGAGGGTTTGCATGCAATAAAAAAAATTAAATACAGGTGTTTTGGCATCAAATATAGTTTTTCAACGTTAAAATAAGCAAGGAAACTTGAAAGTCTTTTCTGCTGATCGTTGCTGTGTTTTCAATTTCACTTTCAGAAATCAAACAAAATGTATGTTTTTTATATATGTAATTTATTTTGCTCATTTGTGAATATTAATGTTTACAGAAAGTGGTTGGAAAGTTGCATGGACACAATTCCTCTGATCCAGGTGTTCATGGGACCAGGTTTGTTTGTTTTTTTACGTGGAGTATCTGGGGCAGGTCAGCGGGCGTTGGAGTTTCTGGGGCATTCGTGCATCCGGTAAGCACACATGAAGAAGATACCTGAGCAGAAGACAATTGTTCAGAGAAGTGGGGCAGTGTAATTCAAAACTAAGTCTGACCCAAAAGATGCTTACCTGAGAAAAACGTGAGCACCACCGCCACCCAGCCTGTTATGTAGGACCAGGAGAACCGCCAGCTGCCATAGCGCTTCCCATAGTAGTTCACTGTCACTCCGGTGTAGACAGCCATAGCCAGCAACACAAAGAAGCCTGCAGAGGAACAGGTCAGGGGGTCATAGTGTTTCCCAGTACCTATGTTCCTCGGTAACTATGTGCCCATGTACCTCTGTTTCCCAGTACCTATGTGCCCAGGTACCTCTGTTTCCCAGTACCTATGTGCCCAGGTACCTCTGTTTCCCAGTACCTATGTGCCCAGGTACCTCTGTTTCCCAGTACCTATGTGCCCAGGTACCTCTGTTTCCCAGTACCTATGTGCCCAGGTACCTATGTTTCCCAGTACCTATGTGCCCAGGTACCTATGTTTCCCAGATTGTGAGTAAATTGAGCAAAGAATATACATATATTGCTCAATTTACTCATCCTGGGTTAGAAGGGCCATCTTGATTCAGTAAATTTAACAGTTTATTTCTTTGAGAGTGTGTAAAAGTACTTTTACTTTCCCAATGTTTGTGAACAGCTTTATGACTTTTACTTGAGTAATTTTTTCATCAGTGAAATTTGTTTTCACCAGTCATTTTCGGTTCATGTAATTTTACTTAGTTAATTTTTTCAAGTACTTTATAGACCTCTGGTGCCCAGGTACATATGTTTCCCAGTATTTATGTTCCCTACTACCTATGTCCCTCAGTACCTATGTTTGAATGTAGTATGTTCCTCAGTATTTATCTTCCCAGGTACCTATATGCCCTACTACCTACTGTATGTTCCTCAGTACCTATGTTCCTCAGTACCTATGTTCCGCAGTACCTATGTTCCTCAGTACCTATGTTCCTCAGTACCTATGTTCCTCAGTACCTATGTTCCTCAGTATCTATGTTCCGCAGTACCTGTGTACCTCAGTACCTATGTGCCCAGAAACCTACATTCCCTGGTACTAATGTTCCCTGGTACCTATGTGCCCCAGTACTTATGTTCCCCAGTGTCTATGTTCTCCAGTACAATGTCTGCATAGTAATTCAGTATTTTTTTCATTTGTACTGAAATACATTGAAGGGGGAGCCAAGCAAGGTAACAACTGTTCCATTACAGCAGGGTGATCAGTTTAGGGTCATCAGGCTTACAGGAGATGAAGAAAAGGATTCCAGCTGCAAATGTCTTGTCGAACCCGTCAAAGGATGAGAAGTGAATGAAGGCCATGATGCCGATCACGATGCCGATGAAACAGGCCAGCAGGGAGAGGATCATGAAGGCCCGAGTGGCGTCCCAGTAAGCTGTGGCAGGGGGAGGACAGGGGGGGTCCCACAGGTTTAAAAATTTGTACAGATTCAAAATTCAAAATACTGCCAACACACAACACACAATGCCTACTTTTAAGACTGGGTTTTAAAAAGTGTTTTTAATAAATCCAATGTTGGTTTGGGTTTCAAGAGGAATCCCTTAATTCTGCTGCTATAGACTCAGACTGCTGGAGAACAATCTGACGACACGTCACTCTACTCTTCATGTTTGTATTTCATGTTTCCATTAAATAACTCCACTTGTTAAATTAAACATACAAATGTTTCAAAAATGTAATATATTTTGTTTGGGAGCAATTTTGATAAAGAAAAGTACATTCTGGACAAATTAACCATGAAATGCATGATAAATGTACACAATTACATATGTTGTATATCTCTTTGGATCAAACTCATATTGGCTGTAAATTACTCTGATTTATAAAACAAAACCAACCAATAATAATAATAA